TCTTTCTTTTTCTTTTTTTTTGATCAAATAGACAGAAAAAAAGAAAGAGAAAGAAAGAAAAGAATTACATCATGCTTTCCTTTATGTTATCGATATGTGTATAATAGGTATTCATTTCTTCATTTTTTACGCATACTAATGGTTATATACATGTTCAATTTAATCTTTTCTACGATATTTAAACATTTGATATGTGTCAAGTCCAATTAGGTAAAGAACGTTGATAGTTAAATTCAAGTGAATAAAAAAAAATAATACAAGAGAACTCTTGAAAATCACTTGTGGTGCTTGCTCGTAATCAATGGCTGTCAGTCAACAATTGAATCAATAGAAATGAATATATTACCTTTATTTTTAAAATGAGGAAACAATGGTTGAACATAAGTTTGCCCATTGCAATGGTGAATACGAGTTGATAATGGACTACTTGTTTTAAGTTTATACAATGGTGAAGTGCTTTTCGAAGGTGATGAAGGTTTTGATGAACACTTTGTAGTGTTACCCATTTTATATAATATTAATAATAATAATAATAATAATCGTTGTTAAAGAAGAAGAAGAGGATTGGAAAGAAAAATAATAGCTTATTTGATTTATTTTAAATTTAAAACCATTCTTCTTCTTAGGGGTTTTTTTTTCGTTTTGTATACTTGTTGTTCTTTGGTATTGGGTGGTAATTGAAGATATATAAAAAAACCTTTTTTTTTTTTTCTTCTTCGTTGTCTATCGTTTTTTTACTTGATCATGGATCAACATTAAGAAGATTAGTTATTGAAAATAATCGATTTAACAATATACATAGATATTTTATGAGAAATGTACATATAAGTGCATATGAGTGCGACGGTATAATAAAAATTGAAGAAAAAAAGCAACGAAGTATATATACTCAAGTGCTTATAGTAGTTACTGACCAGCATTGGATAAGTACCATTTTAAAGTACAATTGTTGTTAATGTTGAAAGAATATGATAGAGAATAAGAGAACAAGACACAGAGAGAGAGAGAGAGCGAAAAAAGGAGAGGAGAAAGAGAAAAATAATAATGAGTGACAAATTATAGGCAAGATGCCAATGTAGTACGATATTTTCTGTATATGAAAGTATGCGTGTATACATGAACGATGGGACATGCGATACCATCGTCATTGAGCGTAGACGACAAGAAAATTGATTTTTTTTCTCATATTATTCATGGATGTTAGTATTGAAGAGGCTGTTTGTATTAGTTAACGTATATGAATGAACAGCTATTATCATTAAAAGACCATCTTTTCTTCTTCTTCTGCGCTTGTTTCTTATCAATCGAGGACGAAAGTATCTGATATAAAAAAAAAGTACTTCCCACTCTTACTTCTCTTTTCTTTTTTTTATATGACAATCATTTCTATCTTTTCATAGAAGCTTAACTAAGATCAATAATACTATATAATCAGAGTATGTTTAGTTAGTTACTGTATTGTTCATGTAGATAGAAGAATACTGGCGTAATACAGATGAGTGAATCTTCTTTACCTTGTATTTACGCTCTATGCACTTCTGCTTCCAAACAACCAGATGATGATGATCATCATCATCATGATGATCAATTGAGTGTATTTTATTGACCTTGCTCAATAACGTAGAACATCAAGATATGCGATATGTACAGAGAAAAAAAAGACAGATATTTCATATAAACTCATTTTCTTCATTTCTATCGAATGTTACAAAATGTAAAAATGAATATATTACTATGAACGATTTTAGTTTTTAGACACTGATGAGTCATCGTTAGTAGCTGATAAAAAAACTTCTGTATTCCCTTGTTATTCATCGTAAGTTGATATATAGAGATTTATTTCCTTATTATTGCTACACATCTGCAAAACATCCGTAATCATTGATCCTTGAGATTTAGTTAATAGTAAGCAAAAAAAGAAATGTTATTAAATATAGCACATGAATCGAAACTATTCTAATTAATATATCTGAACTTCTATAATAGACAAATTCATATGAAACACATGAATAAACTTATTCTCTCATCGATCAATCTGTCAGTATATATGAAACTATTTAATAAATACATTAAATTTTACATTCATTCATTATTTATTACCTCGATCATATGGGGATCGTGAAGCCGACACAGATCGACGCGGATTTTCAGCTGGTGGTGGCGGTGGTGGTGGTGTTGCTCCATAACGATTGTAGAAATTTGACCGATACATAATTCAAATGAAAGATGTACACGTTTACTCAGAAAAAAAATAATAATGTCTTAGCACTTCTATTAGTAATGTCGTTGTCGCATGTAGTGCCAGTAGCGGTCGTCGTTCGATTAGTTCCACTGAGACATTTTCTTTCTTTTTTTTTCTATTCTATATCCTCTCCCAGCTTCTTTTCTCTTTCTATGTACGATCGTTGTTTGAATAAAAAATCGCCGGCGATGAGTCGCCAAAAAAAAACGAGAGAAGAAGAAGAAGAGAAAAGAAAAGTTGTAGTAGACTGTAACGATCTTCTTCTTCTTCTTCTTCTTCTAGCATGGAATGAGACGAATAAATAAAAGCTCGCATAATAGATATAGAATCTTTCTAGCATTAACAAATGTAAAAATCCTACCTTGAAAATTTTGTGAGGATAAAATATCGAATAATTTCTTGTCAATATTTGGATTTAAGAATTTATCATATTGTCTTTCATTAAATAATTTTAAAAAATTCGAATTATGATCAATAACATAAATACTCGATGATGATTTCTTTTGAAATGTTATAAATTGATTATTAGCTAATGGTAATAATTGTAATTCAAGTACAAGACCTGGATCAGGATCATTCAATAGAATATATGTTAATAATGATAGTTTTTGTTCATATGTTAAACGAGGAAGTATTAAGGAATTTTTTGATAATAATTCCGATGCATGAAATGGTGTCATTACTTGTAAATAATGTTTATTAGAATATTTACATAAACCATTGATTACATGAGAGGGTAGAATAACAATAGGTGCATTAGCTTCTGAAAATACGAATGTAAGAACATCTTGAATTGGACCTGCATCAACATTATTTATAATCATATCTTCAATTGCAACATAACCCCAACCATCAGTAACTGAATAGAACAATTCTTGTTTACCTAAATAGAATTTACACATTTGAAGTTCATACGATGATGACGATGATAAAGAGAAATTCTTTCAATCGTTACATTAATATCAATAAATATGAGATAATTAGAGGTCGAGGTTACGGTCATGACGATTTTCCATTTTTTTCTCATTAATTATTCATTTAGATTTGCAATGCTTTTAGTCTTTTCCTGCATATATATATAATATTCTTAATACAACGTTATAAATGATATTTTCTACTGATTATTAAATCAGTCTGTTCCGGTTCAGGGTAATAAATAGAGAAAAGAAAAATGCATGTAGAGTTTCGAGTCTTATATAATGAAAGTGGATCAAAAGCTGTAAGACAGTCATGCCTGAAGCTAAAAAATCTCTTTCAAGGAAGCATCATTATAGCATAATATAAAAAAAAAGACCATTTCTCGACTTACGCGACAACTAATCAAATCGTATCATTCTTCAGACTTATAAATTTCTGCAAGATGAAAAATTATTTCATCTGACTACATCTCTATAGGTAATAATATAAATTCCAGATGGTCGAATGTGTCTGAATGACAGTACTTAATATTTGAACTAGTGTTCTTCAACATATTGTACAGAGAAAGTAATTCATTTAGAAATTTATGTACACATAGACAACATTTATATAAAATCAAGAAAACAGATGAGAATAAAGTATTAATGAATATTTAAGCATTGTCAAGATTTTAATTAAAAATATGAATAATCTATTCTTTAATCCTGAATTTTATCAGCGTTTATTTTGATAATATTCTCAAAGACATAAGACCATGAGTTAGACAATAACAAGAAAATTTCATTATAATTTATGTCAAATTTTCCAGAATAATAATTCTTATTTTCAGACAACTAAAGAAAACATACAGAATTTGTTGACGACATAATGAGAATAATGTCAATCATAAGAGTCCTTGCTTTTGATACTATAAACAAATACGATTTGGAAAATTCCAAACAAACTATAACATACAAATTAATAACATCAGTTATCTCAATTTATTCTAACGACTAGAAGATCATTTTAAATGCCTATATACTTTCAGATACTGTATTGTATCAAAAAACTTCGTAAATATATATATTGTAGAATAACAGTTCTCATATTATTGATGACCTTGCTTTTAGATCTTCGAGAATTCTCATCGATGATAATAATAATAATTCGATATTATGAAAATAAACTGGAATCGAATGATATGTGAATGAAAAATTATTTATTTTATCTTACCAATTTCTGCCCATATATCTGGTATAAGATTATTGGTAATTTTAAGATATTGTTGTTGTTGTTGTTGTAAAGAAAATTTTTGAGTATCATTAAGTAAACGTTGATGTTCATCAATATCTGGCATTAATTCCCATATAAGATCAATTGATAGGTTTGATGTTGTTGTAGGTTTGATTAATCTTGATAAATCTTTAAGAAATAGAGCATATGCTTTTGGAAATTTTATTTGACGTAATTGTATACACATATCATCTTTACAAAATGTATTTAAAGATGGTATTACACAATAATAAAGTGTTCGTGTTGATGTTATTTGTATTGATTGATAATTATGTGATATTAATGATGATATATATGTTTCAATTAATGTTGAAAATGTTGTTAGAGGAAGTAAAAGTTTTAATTGAATATCACGTTTATCAATTTCATTAAATTCATTATTAATTGATAATAACCAACGAGATACATCACTAAAATTACAAAAGAATCTTAATTATCTAGATCGTAAAATATTCTTTTCAATTTAAACGAGTAATCTCTCGATGGATTTTGAAATATTTTTGACTAAATCAAAATTAATCGATAATTTAAGTATTTTTGATCGATTATTTACGTCGAATAACAAAGAGAGAATTATTGTCTTACTCGTTTATAAACACAATCTGAGAAGAAGATCGAATATCTATTGTCATGTTCAACGACATGAAAGAGTATCAAGTAAACTCATTGACTTTTTCTCACGAATATACTTTCGCGTATCTAATCGAGGATCTGTTTTTTTATTTTCGCTGATTACAATACCCTTTTTTTTTATACATTTAGGTAATAATTAATCTTTATTAAAGAAACGAGAGCTAACCTTGTATTAATATCATCAATTTGTTTAGATAATGTCATATGGATGAGTTGTGTAGTTGATTGAGCATCATGAATTGTTGTTAATGTATGTTTATTAATTGATAAAAATTTTGTTAATATTTGAAAATCTTTTGTATAATCAAATTCAATTGTATTTAAATTAGTTTGATTTAATAATAATTCAATAAATGATTCATTTGAATGAAAATATCTTAAGATTTGTTGTTTAATATCATCTAATGTTAATATATGTGTTGATATTTGTGTTGTTGAATTTGTTCGTAATGGTAAACGTATTAATGTTCCATTATAAAATGTTTTCGATTTTAATAAAAAATAATCTAATGGAGAAAATTGATCTTGAAA